TAATGAGTTTTCTACCAGCACAACTATCTGATCTGGCTCAGGGTCAGAGCAGCATTGCCACCACCCGATGGAAGAGCTGGGAGAGTGAAGGGGGATGGCGGCAGCCCCAACCACGGATACGGCCATGCCAGGGTTTTTAAAATGCTGCTTGGCAGCTGCTGTGCTTCACGGGAAGGTGCTTAAAATCAGATCTTCACAATGTTAAATAAAGGCAAAATGCTGTAACCATGTGATGGGCTGGTGGTTTTTTGTGCAGCCCGCTTTGTTAAGCCCGCTTTTACAAATTGGTAATTTTATAAAATTTAAGACTGAAGCTTCCTTCCCATTCTTTGAAAACTCATTTATCTATGATGAGAATAACAACGTGTCTCTGTTGCTGTCTCTTATTTTGCTAACCAAAATGCTAACCAGTGAGCATACTTCCAAAGGAAATGGTAAAACAGAAATGTTTTAATTTCATACTGGGGGGAAAAAAAAACAAACTCAAATACACTCTCATGCCATTTGCCTAAATCTTGTTTGGACATCTTGCACGGCTCACAATCTTATGTTATCACTCCCTCCTCTGAATCAGAGCAAGAGCAGAAAGATAAATATAATACTGCAATCCACGGCTCGATACCGAAGAGGATCACTCTGCTGTGACACGCCTCGCACTTCGGCTCTAACACAATGACACGGTTGTCTAAGGTTTGCGGAGACTGAACAGCCTGTCATGTATTAACACACTTTTCATTTTGGAGATAGTGTCAGGAGCTGAAAAGCAGCTCCGATTCGCCGTGCCGCTGCGGATATCTCCCTTCTGATATCAGGTGTTTTCTCCCCTCTGACCTCCACGCCAGCAGATTTGTGGGAGCAGCGACACACTTGCCCTACGCATCCAGAGAGATGGGAACGGGAACAAAGCGCTGGGGTGAGAAAAGCCCAAAAGGGCTCTTTTTCTGCAGCTTCAAATATTAACATTATAAAAGACAACTTGCAGCGACTCTTTTTTAAGTTTCTCAGAGGAGGTCTGAGATCATTTTACAAAGCCCACTGCCTGGAAGACATTTGACGTTCAGAAAGGAGAACAGTCCCTGGCTGCAGAAGTGCTTGTTCTTTCCTCCAAGCCTACATTTAAAGTGTCTCTGGCACAGTGAGGACCGGGAGAGATGCAGAGCTCGGGGTTTCATTTAGGTTGTTTTGTTTAACCAACCCAGCTACAAGCCTGGCGCCTGGCTACAGCTTCAGCTTCCCCTGAAACCAGTCGGGCTTTTGCTTGTGTGGCCGACTGCTGAACTGGCAAAAGCTACCTTTGCAAAGACACTTTTGCCAGGACACCTTTCTGTGTTTGCATTCAAGAGGCAAAAATGTAGATAAAGCTTTTGCCAATGATACCTTGGTCTATTGGAAGAGATGTTATGAAATGATAAAATAAATGACCATTTCCTCAGTGTTTCAGCTTTCCAGTGCAAGAGCAGAACTTGCTCCTCACGAAGGAACTCCATGGTAGGTGGATACGCGTGAGCAGAAAAGGAGCAACGCCTGTTTCAGCTCCTCTCTGAGCCACAGGATGTGCAGAACTATAAAAAAGTGGGGGAAAAGAGGTGGAAAAGACATTTTTACAAGGATTGAAAGGATTCCTGGAAAGAAGAGGGGCAATTAACACACACATGGAAAAGCTCCTCTGTTAGGATGACATTACTAACTTCTTTTTTATTCTTTGGTCACTAAAAGTATCTTTACGGAGAGCATTAAACCAAGGAAACACCTGGAAAGATTAAAACCCACATGTAGCTGTTCCTTCCCACTTAGCACGCTTGTTAATCCCACAGGTCTTGCTGAAGTGAAAAGACAAATACAAGAAAGAAAAGGTGATGGGGATCAGGCATACTTCATTACAAACCAGCCCTTGACATTTCCCTTAGTTACGCAAAAGTTTTAGGACGCTGGTGACTAATAAAACTCCCCAGTCCTTGGCCGGCTTCAGAAACCCTTGCCGTAAGGTCAAGGTCAGGACAAAGTTAGTGCCTTCATTAAAAAAAAGAGGGAATATGGCATCTCTAATGATTGCTTCTGGCTGTTTTTCTCCTTAGCTGTAATAATGCCACAGTAAGCGTTTGCTTTCTTAAAGTGATGCAGAGCTCTTTTCTTTACCTGGTGAAGGACCTCACTGCCCACCCTGGGGCACAGCCAGGGACCTGATGATGGAAATGGATGTTCTGTGCTGAAGACCACAAATTTAGGGCTGTCTTCACAGGGAAGTTCAGGGAAGGTGGAAGAATCCTGTTAGCATGCAATTGCATAGTACCTTAGATAACCTACTATTTATTTTAATGCTAACCACCTGAGGGAGGCTCAGCTAATGAATCTATTTTTGTAGTACCATAAAGGCTGAAGTTTAGAGCTAAGTTTAGAGCGGAGACATATAAAAAAATGTCAAACCAGGAAATAGCTTAATGAAAGCAGCAAGTAATCACGGCAAATTACAGTGAAATTTCTATGGGATTACATTTTGCATTCCCCAAACAAGAAGAGGAATTAATTTCATTTAACAATGTTCCATTTTGCTGAGAATTCACTGTAAGGATATGCTATGTAAATAACATAATGTGATGCCATAAAGGCTGTCTTAAAAGTCACAGTCTAAGATGCTTTTCAAAATGGATTTCAGATTTCTTCCCACTGCAGTCTATGGAAAAATATTTCTATATGGAAAAATAGCAAGATATGCCACAAATTATCACAGAGAAAAAAAAAACAATGGCAATATTCAGAGGAATACAAGGCACATGTTTTATTTGGTGGCTACTAGCAATGAGGTCCTTTTCTAAACTCCAACATTTAGAAAACAACCAGCAGTGGATGTGGTAGGGAAGCTCACCCCAGGAGACTAAAGCTGGTATTCCCAGGGTGCTTCCAAGAATCACTGCAGAATTTAATCTTCCCCCACTTGGAAACCCAGGTTTGTTTCTTGCAAATGCCCTGTGGTCAGCACCTCACCTAGCTGCCTTGAACACCTCCTCTGAAACAGTATATATAGAGTTTGCATCTATATGGACTGTATATACACCTTCCTCTCCCACCCTGCAGGTTATCTTTCTTTCACCCAGGCTTTACAAACACTCCAGTAACAAATAAAAGCAATTTCACAATGTTTTTTACCATATGTAGTGATTTTCTCTGCTTTTCAACACGTCTCCAACATGAGAAGTAGCGGGGAACTTTTGACCTCAGTCGGCTACTATTGCACAGCTTTGGGTGGTTAGTTTAGTAAAAAAACATGTTGACTTTTGGGTAACAATGTCACTGCAAATCTCTCCAGGCTAATTCTTGATGACAGCCACTGTAAATACACTGGAACGTGCACAGAGCTGCAGCCTGGCCCCATCAAAGGCAACGCAAGTTTCACCACTAAATTCAGCAGGACCTTGAATCACTCCATAATGAGTAACACGAAATAAAATCTCAGTCCATTAGGCAAAAAAAGAGGAGAAAGAAGTGTGTGAACAGGATATTGTGTATTAACTGTAAGGAGAGGAGATTCATAAACCAGAAGTGTGCCATGTGTCTGCTTAAAATGACCAGCGAATATTTTATTTATAAGGTCTATATGATTTGCTACAGAGCAGTTACCCTTTCAGAGGAGAGGATTTTGCAACAGAAAAAGCTGCAAAATAAGCTTTTCATAAGTTTATAGAAATGGATACAAAAGGGAAAACAAGATTAAAGACCCCATGGCTGAACAGTTTAATACTGTTAAAATTTACTTACCAATGCTTTGGTGTTTTAACCTCAAATTATTCCCCCAATTTTTTACATTTTCTACAGCGCTAAGCCACAGAGCTGTGCTGTCCTCCCCACGCTGCAAGCTTGGTGGGAGGGACAGGAAAACACACAAAATCTGTCTGGAAGGTTTTGCAATCTTTGCCTCACTACAAGAGGTGTGGGCTGACCCAGGTGTTACTAAAAATTAATGGTGTACCTTCTTAAAGGACGCTAGCTAGAAATATAGCACCTGGGCCTGTGGCTCCCATATTTTCATCTACAAAATCCCACACAGACCTAAAACGTACAATATTTTTTTCCGGGGCAATGGCAGTCAGCTTTCCACACCTGTGCTGGATGCAGAGGCTGAAAAGGCAGCGTGTACAGAGTGGCCATACTTCCACGCGCCCCAGCTGGAGAGGCAGCGATGCTCTGAATGCTGCCCAGGCCATATCTGGATGGGAGGTATTTCTAGGCATAATCCTAGTGCTGTCACCGTAGCAAATCCACACCTATCGGTACAGTGCCTAGAACAAGTTCTGAGACTGCTGATTTAAAACCAGATCACCTCATACAGATACCATCCCTGTGCATTCAAGGCTTGGCTTTCCACAGGTCAACAGATTCCAAAATACTTTTGAACTGAACACCAGGTTTCCCCTGTGGCATAAGATATTTTGAGACTTAAACTGTGCAAAACACGGGCTAAGAGCTGCAACTGTGAGCTCAGCCTTCTACGAAGATCAGCTCAAATGTAGGGTTACAATTAAAGAACAAGCTCCCAGGCACATGGGGACACCACCTCGCGCTCCAGACCATGCCCAGGTCCTGTGGCCAGGCACAGTGGAGGGGTGGACCATGGACCAAGTAACTGGTTACTTCCCAGGCTGGGAGTAGGAAGGTGGCATCTCATACATGAACAGGAGACATAAAAGCAGGGGAGCTCGAGGCTGGTGTCAGTTTTTGTGACATGCCCCATGCCTAAACTTGACAGATCAAGAGACTTCTGATCTCCCAGGAAAGTCTTTGCTAATTGTCATACAGAAGTAAAGACTCAGGGGGCCTTCAAGTTTTGGTGGTTTTTTTAAAAGCACAAAAATTGGCACGTTAAAAAAGAAAGGTCTTCACGGAAAGCTAAATCAAAACCCAGAACCTCATTTAGCCTCTTCACTTTCAGACAAGGCTGAATTCAGGAACACAGAGAGAGCGAGAAAGAGAGAGCATAGAAATGAAAATAAGAATGTTTTCATTACCTTTTCTGCAAGCCAGCCTAGATGCCTAATCTCTCGACTTCCAGCAATCCCTGTTTTACCCAGCTGGTCTTTGACCTCTGCAATCACCCTGGGGATGAGCTCATTGACACTGGAGTGGATGGCATTGAACCAGGCCTGGGCTGTAGCCGAATCCTTACTCCTGAGCACCACGGTGTGCTTGGCATCAGGCGAATGAACTTCAATAAGTCTAGAAAAATGGGGGGGGAAAAAACATAATGTTCACTCATATATCGTTTGGCAGCTAAATTTATTATCTCGCTTAGTGTTAGCAATGCGAGAAGGATGCTAATATCAAGACCTAGCACTAATAACTTACCTTTCACAACACCTGAATAGAGTAAGATCATCTTAACTGAAGCCAGGTCTGTACCGGCATTCAGGTAAAGTCCTTGAGAAGGGATTTGCCAATGCTGATGCAACCTCACTTCTAGCATGTCAACAGGAGTTTCAAATATAAAGGCAAGAGGAGCATTCGCCCGTTAACATTCACTGACACGGCAACCGCCCAGAACTGCACAGGAGATGACTGTGGAGAAGCAGGGGATAAGCTGCTGCCTTCTTTAGCTGGATATCACCGCACACCCAGAGTTTCTCAGTGTGCTTATTTTACACATAACACAGCTAAACGAAAACCACCCACATCCCAAATGAAGGAGTTTCCTTAGGATTGCACTGTGGTTTCAGCGACACCACTAAGCATCAACCAGAAGCCCACTGCAATTTCCAGGAGTTACCAATGACCTCAATGCTCCATTTAGATCCTGCTAACAGCGGCAGCAAGAAAGTGCTAACCGCAACTGTAAGATTGCTTACAGGTATCTTTTACAGTTTTCCAAACTCCTGAGGAGATAGATGCTTTTTTTCCCAAAAAACATGCTTACTAGCCCATCCAACGGGCTTCCAGCCCACAGCTGTGGTTTGAAAAGCACAGGCAAACACAGTTTCCAGGAAAAAGAATTGTGTCATGGATCATGCCATCCATCATGCCATCCATCATGCCATCCATCACGGTTATGGGACCTGTGCCAACACCTTTGCTTACAACAACAACAACAACAATGCTTTAAGAGGCAGCTGCAGCTATTTCAGCTCTGTTCTCAGTGAAGTTATTAGTTACTAGTGGGGCTTTGTGTGCTCTTTATAGCTTCATGGGCCACTTTTACTTGAACATTTGTTAAATAACCCACTAAGTAACAGTCTGGTGTATTTTTATGTAGTGATTATAAACCCAAGCCCTGGTCATTGCCCATCATTGAACTCTGTATCACATTTGTGCTTTTTCATTACACACGTACAGAGACTGCCGCTGAACATTACCCACACAATTTCAACCTGGGATCTGAGCTTAAGCCCGTACTTCTGTCCTGTGTATTGCTGCCTGATCTCTGCGACACACAACGACTCCTTTCTGTGGCAGAAAAGTAATTAGCAATTTATTCAGGTTGAGGTTCAACACAGTACTGTAATACAAATATGTTATGCAACTACAAAATCCTGCAATTTGGAGCTTAACTAACAATTAAGAGATTTTAATTAATCAGTTAAACCAGAGCAGACTCCAGAACAGAGGGTGACTCGATCTGCGCAGCTGTTGGGCTGGGAGAGCGAGGACTGCTGGTCTTGTGTTTGTCCATTTTGGGAAGGGGATGTCTCCACGTAGACACTGCTCTAAAGATAGAAAAGGTCATGATTTTCCAAACTCAGCAGTTGGACTGTTCAGGGTCCTAAATCACTGTTTGCATAGCTTAGAAGTGGGTTGATTCTTCAAAAAGCGCTGAGCCAACACAGTAATGCATGTTTCCTCGGTAAAGCTGCTGGAGATCAGCACTGTCTGAAAATAAAGGCTCTTATGTAGCCACTCCAGGATGCACCAAGGACTCAAGTTCAGGTACCAAAAGCAAATTTCCTTGTCAGACAATGCAGTTCTGGTGAATAAGAAAACTATGTCTGTAGATAGGCACATTCCCAATCACACTCTCATTTTTTTTGAACTGCAAGGAAAAGCCATCTCCCTGACGGTTCAGATTTAGCCATTTGTGTCTGATGATCAATACAGTCATGCACAGCTATCACACCCTGGTCTGTCTTTCCATCAGAAACACTGCTCTCCCACTGCCGTCCAGATTTTAGTTTGAACTTGTTCTTGTAGGTAGCAGCTATCAATGGAAACAAACTATACATCATGGTAATTGGTAAAATGTTGCTTATTACTTACAGAGCACTTTTTGGCACGAGATCTCACGGCATTTTACAAATGAGGTCAGTGACAGCACCCCTGTTTCACCACCGAAGAAGTGGGAAGGTGCCTAACCCAGATGAGGCAGGGAACAAGCCAGGAGCAGCACTCCATATTTTCGGCACTCTAACTCCCATTTTAATACTTCTTTGAAAGAGAAGAATTATTTGGACAGCGCAGCAGTACTGTGCTGTTTTTGAAAATGTTAATGCGCCGTATGGATTGTGTGAAACAATGCTCTCTACAAAGCCTGTGGTTTCTATAAGGGAACTCCCACCTCCAAAGCCGCTGCGTATCGTGCGGTAAACAAAAGCGCCGAACAAGGACTACAAAGCCACAGAAGAATGTGCTGCTTTTTCAGCTGCAAAGAAACAGGAGCAAACTTGTGTAAGTTCTTTTTAAGTTACAGTTGTAGCAGGCTTTGGTTTAAAAATAAATTATCTAGACCCGAAAGAGCTTCCAAATGGCAACTCGCTTCCTTCCAATTTGGAAAACGCTTAAATTCTTACTTAAAGCAAGTGGATTAACACACAAACTAGTATTTTGCTACTTGGGCCTTCAACAAAGCGCAATTCCCTTGATGGTGGCTATTTAAGTATTTGTATAAAAAGAGCTCTGTTCTCTGAAATAATGAACTTTTAGACACCTCTTAACAATTCTGTTTAAGAGGTTCTAATCTATCTATATTCTAATATATACACATTCTATTCTGATATCAATGTATATATTCTAGTATACATATGCACACACACATACTGAGCCATGCTTGCAAAAATACTCTTAAAATATCATTTCTCAGTGACTTCTAATGGGGCTATTTTGGGGACTGCTTGTCAGTCATCAAAGTTTGATGGCGATGTACTAACAACTGCAGCAAGTCTACCTCATTCCCCGAGCTGAGTGACAGGAAGATTGGATGATACATGCTATGCTTTTCAAAAGTCAGTTCAAAACAGGAATAAATGTTGCTTTGACAGCCCTGAAACTGAATCCTTTTATCCCTGGCACCGGTCCAGCCCGAGGAATATGTCTGCAAACACCATTCTCCTGCAAGCTGCTAGGTAGGGCACCTTTTTTATTCATACCTTAAGGACAAAAGTCTAAATCCTCAACTGCCTGAACTCTGCTACTGGCTCTTTCTGTAAGATCTGGGCACTGAATTATCCTTATAAAACCGGGCTTGCGGATTTCAATTACAGTTCCAGGACTCCTGTCTCCGCAGTCAGTTGGGACAGAGATACTAAAAAAAACTTAAAATCTCCCAGGAAACCCATGGGCTTTGACCGCAATCGGATGCTGAACATGCTGCATTCCTATAAACTCTTCCCTTTTCTGCCTTTCAGCCTACACTGCTTTGATTCACCAGTCCATTTGGACGATGGTTTTTGTAGAACAGCTGACTGATGGCATTTCCATATTTTTTGAAAAGCAAAAAAATACCAGTGACCTTAGTAAACTTCAACACTAAAGCACTTCAATGTTTCCAGCAGTCCAGCTATTGTAGCTCTGATTTGTTCCCTGGCTAAAGTGACCACCGCTTACTGACTTCTGTTTATCTGCAGTTCAGTGATAAAGTTCCCTTAATTCCCCACTGAATTGAAATATTTAGGGCAATGCCACAGCTGTGTTTATTCTCACACTCCACCACAGTTATGTAAATACTGCATATGGAGCTGTTTCTGATAAAGCCCATACCAACCCAAAGGAATTATATGTTAGCTCTAGATGGCTGCCAAGATGTGCGGCACCTCTCCAGCTTGGCAATGCATATGAACGATATCACATTTTCTCAGAGATCATTTGGCAAACCTTATAATAAAAGAGTAATTTTCTCTCTCCTCTCAAATAGTCCTGCTGAGCCAAGGAGTGTTTCCAGCATCCCCTTCTCCACCCGCGGAACACAGGGGTGACACAAAACCCGTCGCCTCAAATGCCACAACCTTGCACGTTAAGAGACCAAAATTCCCTCTCTCATTGCATCATCCAGAGCTTTTCCTTTACAGAGCAACAGAAGAAGCTGAAAGCAAATGTCTGATAGACCATACTCATTCCACATTTGATAAGGCTTCTCTCTGTAGGAGTGTTCATTGTCTAAGAAATACCTTTTATCACATCTCTGGAAAGCACTTCTCCCACCATTATTGGCTCAGGACCAAACCAGGCACTGATTTACACTTTGTGCCTTTTCCCGCATCAGATTATGTATTCAGTGACTGATTAAAGTGTGGAGTAAACCCCTTGAAGTTAATGATAAGCTGGAGCCAGAGTTATTCGAGTCCATCATGCTATTTTGATTTTGCACCGGCATAGCCAGGAACAAAACACTCTGCCACTGACTCTGTAAACTTAAAAAGGGATCAAGGGCCAAACTGCTCGCTCCATCTCCTCCATCATTGTCTGCACATGAAACCATGGAAAATAAATTTGTTGATTTCTGAGTGTACAAACACAGGAGCCTTTCCAGAATGGGGGGGGGGGGGGGGTTAGAGGAACACAATCAGAGACTATATTTAATTAATTGTAGGTTTTGTTATGAAATAAATAAAAACCCCTGTTAAACTTCTTTTTCAATCCTACATGAAGCATGAGGAGATGAACCAGGAATAAAATACATTAAAATTAAGCATGGAAACTTCGGGTTTAGTCTGCAAGGAAAATATTCCAGAGACACACTGTTAGGCTTGCAACAAATTCCCCAGCATACACTGAAGAAGCATCTTCATTTGATGCACCTAAATGGAGGCAAAAGCAGTTTTACCAAGTGAGCTATTTGGTAATCAATAGGAATTTTTCAATGTGATAGTCTCTTGTCCTCTCACCATCACAAGGGTAGCCGCTGCATTAACAGTTACTTGCTGACTTCCATCTTACAGTGGTAAAAACGATGTAGTTGCTTGTTTCTCGGGAGCTGGACTAGACTGATGTCCAAATAGAGGGTGTATATATCACTA